TTTTTCTAAAAAAGAAATAAGTATACTTTTTGACTTTTTATGAAAAAATATACAAAAAATTAGAGAAATGATGTGACATAAAAAAAATAAAAAGATTAAAAAAAAATTATGCTAATATAGGGGATGCCAAATAATACCTAACTTTACCTATTTTATATGGATACTATTTGATAAATACTTACTTTCTATATATTTTCCATCGGAAATTCAGATAATTCACAAACCTAATACTTTATGTAAATTCGAATAATGCACAAATCTAATACCAATTTTACATAGGCTCTATTTAAGAAATATTTCTTTCACAAACACCAATTTAAGTTTTACATAAAATCTAACTACAAAACCTTTCTATATAGATTATACTTGATTGTAAAAAATCTTTCAATAGTATTTTATATGTACGGGAAAGAAATACGCTTTCTCGTATAATCCTATTGACCAAGTCCACGCTCCTCCGTACGACGTCGCTTTGTCACCTGAAAACACAAACGTGAGCTAGCCGGCGGGTATGAGCCGGAAACCTCTCCGATGCCTAAGTCAGTAAGCTTGACAAATAGACAAAGTTCTATGTTCTCAGAAAGCAAAATTGTGTTGTGTTCTGTTACCTCCTCCAAGGTGATGTTTGTGAGCTTTTATAAGTTTCCTGTGGCACAATCCTAGTAGGACTTTTATTCCTCCATACAGAGTCCTCCTAGGATTCATACTCCTAAGGATAATGCTTATCCTTTTACACCCTCCCCCACTGCTTAAACCAAGTGGGATGGTTTTTACTTTGGCCGAACTACTATATGACCGAAATAAGCTTGGCTATGCAGAGCCACTGAGTAAACCGAACTATTCTTAGTTCGGTTTCACCTTTAACTCTACCCTTATCTCGGTTTTCTCATGTACAACCAATGGTACGGTCTTAGACCGAACCAATGACTTTCGGCCGGTATGACTCCAAGACCGGCATAACTCTAAGTCGTTCCTGGACCGAAGTATCTTTATAATTCCAGAGCCGAAGTAACTTTGTTTCTCCTAGGCCGGAGTAACCTTGCCTCTCCAGGGCCGGAGTAACCTTTTGCATTTTTATTGGGCCAGAGTAATCATTACGGCCTTTTCACTTAGTCCTTCGCACTTTGGGCCACAAAGCCCAACTCGCAGCTCGGCCCAATTTTTCCCAAAAATTACCCTCTCATTATATAATCACGACTCAAAAAGAGGAAAAATCTATACAACAAATGATACTCTAGAAGAACCTTTGAAATTTGGATTTATTACTTGAATTACTTTTTCAATTGTTGAACAGTAAGTTCTACTCTATTTTGACATCATATTGCAAATGATTAACCATTTCATACACTGAGATGTAACTATTGTTCGGATATTTTCATTTATTTTTTCTTCTTGGGTTTAGATATTGTTATGAGATTCTTTCTTGGTTAGTCTTTGTTAAATTTATTTTATATAGTTGATATTTTAATTTAATTAAAAATGTTTATTTTACAATCTTGTAATCTAGGACAAATTATATTAAACCCCCTCAAACTTTGGGCCATTTACAGTTTACTCCCCTAATATTTTAAACCTAACAATTACCCTCTCAAACTATTTGAATTTGAACATTAAGTCTTTTTATTAGTCATTTGTTAGATATTTGAATGAAAAATTGTCAAGTGTTGTGCACATGATGATTATATTAAATTTTTAGAAAAGATAAGGGTAATTTGGTTGTAAAATTTAATATAATCATCATATGCACAATACTTGAAAATTTTCCATGCAAATATCTAACAAATGACTAACATAAGGATTTAATGTTCAAATTTAAATAGGTTGAGGGGTGTAATTGTTAAATTTAAAACATTAGGGGTTAAAGTGTAAATGGCCGATAGTTTTGGGGGCTTAATACAATTTTCCCTATAATCTTATATATATATATATATATATAATATAAAATCATTATAGGATAATCCAACTACAACATATTTATATTTAATTTTTTCAATAAATTTTATATAGTTTCTATTTCTACATATTTTTATTTTCTAAATGAATATAAAAGAAAATTAAATAGTTAGAATTAATTTTAATTTTATATTACTAATTTTTTTTCTAATTTAACTATTATTTTTACTATCAAAATGAGTATTTATTCTACTATCGTATAATTAATATATATCATACAAAATTATTATATGATAATTATTTTTTTATAATACGATAAAACTAAAATTGTTAAAATACATAAATAATTTAAGTAAAATTAATATATACAAGTATTCAAGTAATACTTTTATAGAACGATAATGTCAATATTATCACAATAAATAATTAAAATTATTTTTTTTAACACATATAATACTATCAAATATTTTAAAAAAAATAATAATACGCGCATTACATAGGTCAACTATTAGTTAAATAAATCTCATCTCACAAACAAGTACTCCAATTAGTCTTAAGTTTTTTCTATTAATCTGTTAAATCCTATTAGTGGAGAGTTTCTTTTTGTGTAATCCTATTTTCAATTTTGGTAGTATTTTAGTTGACGACTATACCATTTTATTAATGTGATAGGTATGATGTGACACTCCAATATAGCAGGTATTAATGTGACACACCAACGTGCCAGATATAATGTGACACTCCAAAAAAACTAAAAATTTCTTAATGTACTTTTCTCAAATGTGACAACGTAACGGGTATGATGTGACACTCTAAATCTTTTACTAAAAAAATAAAAAAATAAAAAAACTAAAAACTCCTCAATGTACTTTTCTCAAATGTGACAACATAGCGGATATAATGTAACACTCCAAAAAAAATTAAACACTCCTTAGTGCACTTTTCTCAAATTTGACAACGTAACAGGTATAATGTGACACTCCAAAAAAATTAAAAACTACTCCAAAAAAATTAAAAATTCCTTAGTGTATTTTTTTCAAATATGACAACGTGGTGGGTATCATATGACATTCTAAAAAAACTAAAAACTTATTAATGTACTTTTTTTAAATATGACAACGTGACCAAAATGTGACAACGTGATTGATATAATATAACACTCTAAAAAGATTAAAAAATCATTGCTATACTTTTTCAAAATATGACAACATGACAGGTATAATGTGACACTCCAAAAAAAACAAAAACTTATTAGTATACTTTTTTCAAATGTGATAACATGACGGGTATGATGCGACATTCCAAAAAAACTAAAAACTTATTAATATACTTTTTCTAAATGTGACAACATGACGAGTATGATGTAACACTAAAAAAATTAAAAATTTATTAGTATACTTTTCTCCAACATGACATGTGACACTCTAACATGGCGAGTATGAAATGACACTGCAAAAAATTAAAAATTTCTTAGTGTACTTCTCCCAAATGTGACACTCCAACGTAGCGGGTATGATGTGACACTAAAAAACTCCTTAGTATACTTTTTTCAAATGTGACACTATAATGTGGTAGGTAAATAAGTCATTATACATAAAAAATGACTAAATAGATTATAAAAAAAAATAAAAATAAATATGAAACTACAGGGATTATAAATACAAAATATAAGACTTATTAATCAATCTCCTTACATATAATCCATCACATATTTTGAAATTTTATATAATTTAATAATTATGAATGTTCCAAATTAAAAACGAAATGTTTTGGCGTAACACTTTACTTAATCATGTGTGTTATATAATGCCCATTAAATAGTAAATATTAATGCACCACGTCAGACGCCGCAAGTTCTATAATCTAATGTTGTTTGAAACAAAAATTAAAAAATAAATAAAATAAAATTTAGAGCCAGAGAGTCGTTTGTCCCAAATATGACGATATCTTAGTGGTGTTGTAATAAATAATTTGCCGCCCATACCATTATTAGGCACTTCTTCACCACTAATTTGTGATTTTGTTTTTGCTTTTGTTTTTTGTTTTTTATTTTTGTGTGGAGTGGTATGTGTATAGACATTCGCTTTCACCGGACCCAACAGACATCACCCCACCACCTTCTTTCACACATTATGTGTAAAATGAAAAATGTTTTGTGGTCCAAATTTTTATGACTCGAATGGTTCGAATGTGTCAAAACGACGATGTTTTATACTCAAAACGACATCATTTTGATGTTTCGAGTTATTCGAATCATGATTTTTCAGGCCACCAATCATTGTTGGTGTAAAAATTTTGATGGTATATCATTCTCCTTGCATCACTCATTCAAATGTATCTAGCCCATAAAACTTCCAATTACCCAATTCAAGAAAAATTTCTTGGTGATCTCTTATACAGTTGCACGTGGATTCTATGAAAGGATAAGAACGAAAGGTGAATCTCAATTATTTGATCATGTATTGCAGAGGTTGGGTTTGGAATATATATATATAGAAGACGGGCAAACCCACATGGCTATACTTGAAATATGCAATTACATGAATTGACAGATATATTCAAATTTTAGGACAGATTAGGAATAATTAAAAATAAAAATAAAAATAAAAATTTGTGACATTCACACCAACAACATTATATAACATAATATATAATATATATACATATATAGTTATATATTGAAAAATTCTATATATATCATGTGTTCCAGTTACAGATGTTTTTAATTTTTATTATAACCTATTATATTGTTAATTATGACTTGGTTCCATTATAATGTTAATTCTGAGTCATTGCGATATTGATTGCTATTATTTTAATTATGATCTAAAAAATTTTAATTATACATTATATGATATTTTTTTATAACTCAATTTTTTTTTTAATTATGACTGAAAATAATTCAATCATTACATTTATAATAATTAACCCCACAAATGTAATAATTTACCTACTATAGCATGACTCATATTTGGAAATTCTATATTTTTTTAGTTGATTTGAAAGTTTCAACCAACAGGGATCAGATAATGAAGCCAACTTGGAGATGATTCAGAGGTCAATGGCAGCACAAATGAGAACAAAGAAGAAAAAATGAGCAATTTCTAAAAAGATGACAACACCACTAAATTAGATTCAAGATACAGTGCTAAAGACAAACAAAAGGGTTTTGAAATTAAAAAAAAAAAACTATCCCTATCCAAGGAGACTTTTTATCTACATATCCATGGTTCTCAATGACTCTCCCATGTGGCTCTCTCTCCTTCAATCTTGAATAATAATAATGCAGCAGAAAGAGAGATCAAGAGAAAACCTTGAGACACTAGACCCATGAGCACTCCTCCATTATTTCATTCTTGAAATATCTCACCATCTCATTTCATCTCCTTCTTTCCAAAGCTTGGTTTAATCTAAGAGCTGCTCCTGAACGATGAGAGCGCTTTAAAGGTGGAACCCCCTCTCAAGATGAACTGGTGGTAGAAGGCCGCAATAGCTGCACCGATGAAGGGTCCAACCCAAAACATCCACTGCAAAAAAATTGATACAAAAATTTAAAAAATAAAATAATACGGTTATTATTATTAATGGAAGCAGTAAATAATGCAATTTAATGAATCTTAGGGAATATAAATATAAATATATATATATATATATGTATGTATGTATGTATGTATGTATGTTTTTACTAACATGTTCATCCCAGACCGCCTTCTTGTTGTAGATAACTGCAGCTCCAAAGCTCCTAGCAGGGTTGATGCCAGTGCCAGTGACCGGGATGGTGGCAAGGTGAACCATGAACACAGCAAATCCAATTGGAAGTGGTGCCAACACCTTCATGATTTTCAGAAACAAAAGTTGCATCATTAAATTGTCCAAATAATCCAAACACGGCTGAAAATTTACCATTTTTCTGCTATGCATTGAGAAAAAGTATTCAAAAAATAAACTAAACAAATCTTTAGTCAACAAATTTTATTTATCTAGATGCTTGTTTTCTTTCTAAACGAATCTAGATGCTTGTTTTATTTACCATGAAAGCAAACAAAACACCATCTTCGACATCATTAAAATAAATGAATAAATTATAAGCTATACAGATCATACTTCTATAGCATTTGACAGTATTTTGATTTCTGATAACTCTGTTTCAGGATATCAGTGTTGCCAAATACATGCCAGGAAGGGGAAAAACAAAAAACAACAAATCAAAACAACATTTTCTTTTCTACTGTACAATGTTGTAAGGCTACATCAACTTTTTTTTCCCTTTTTTTTTTTTCTTTTTTGTCCACTTGTTGTGCATGATTAAGCCCTGGCCTAGGGTTCATGTCACCTAGACTAAAAACAGTCTCAAACCACCCATAATTCAAAGGGCAGAAACAGCAAAGCATTGGCCCACATTACTTTTGAAGAAAGAAAACATGGAAAACCATTGCCCTTGTGCCAATCCTAATCTCTAGATCCAAAAAACCCATCTCAGCCAACTAGTTGCAGCATCAACTATTTCCCTAATTAAAAGACATAATTGCCCTAACAGGCATATGTGCATATATACCAATGGAAAAAAAAATGCCAAATTTATATAGAAAATTCATACATAATTATGTTGTGGCACTTTTGCAATTATAAACTACAATAATGAGCTAACAACTGAACATATACGGATCGCATCACGCTATATGAATTTTTTGCAAAAATAGGAGTTGCACATAACTAGAACACAAAAAATGTACAGAGATTTATTCTAAGTGATTCACACCATATCCCAAAATGAATCTCAGCCACACAATGCACTTTTTTATACTTTTTCTATATTTTATCAGTGGTGATTAAGAGCTCAAATAATAGAACTCTAATAAGAGCACTAGTGACGTGACAACCTAAAAGAAAAAGAAAAAAAACAAAACATAGGCTAAAACATCAAATCACACACTGGGGCCCACAGGTTAGAGCTCTGCTAGAGTTCACAATTTAGATAGCATGTTTCATGTTTTATTTATATGCAGCTATTTGGTTTTGGTTTTCAAAAAATTTTTAATGTTTTCAATGAATTTTTTTAATATTTTAAGTAATTTTTTAATTTTTAGACACATCTAACATAAATACACTTAAAAAGTATAATATTTGTGAAATTTTTTTAAAAAATTTACTAAATAACAAAAAATATAAAAATTCAGTACATTTTTTTGTATTTTTGTGTATTTATTACTTTTTTAAAATATTTTTTCAAAAACATTGTACTATTTAAAAAAATAAAAAAATTACTTAAAATTTTAAAAATATTCACTAAAAATAAAAATAAAAACACAAAAAACAAAAAACAAAAAGCACAATTTTTAAAAAAATGAATTCAAAAAACTAAAACCAAACAAGTTAAAATTTTATTTTTTTGGATCTTTACTATAACTGCGAAGTAAAGCTAAATATTTCTGGTAAAATATGATGTCACTATAATTTTTTAAGAAATCATAATTATGTGACAGATTGATGAGGTTAGGTTGAGGGGTGCTTACAGGGACATGGGAGTCTCTGGCATTTCTCTTGGGATCAGTGGCAGAGAAGACAGTGTAAACAAGGACGAAAGTTCCGATGATCTCAGCGCCGAGTCCAGTGCCTTTGTTGTACCCTGGGGCGACCATGTTGGTTCCGCCTTGGTACGTTTCGTAGTACGAACTCTGGAACAACTTCACAAGCCCAACACCACAAACGGCCCCAGCGCACTGTGCCCCCATGTACATCACCGCTCTTATCAGCGACACCTTCCGCGCCAAGAACAGCCCGAATGTCACTGCCGGGTTAATGTGACCCCCTAGCCCATTTCACCAAACAAAACAAATGAATTTGTTAAATTTCCAAGTTTTTATGTTTGTTCCATTGATGATCAAGCTTTATTATGCTGATCAAAAAAAAAACGAAGCTTTATTATACGCCTTGGGATCCACATAAATTCAATTAGTTATAATTACTTACAAATCAGAGGTATCAATTAAGTCTGAGATAAATAGGAGAAGACATAAACTAAAATTGAACCAAAACATTCTTTTTTTGACAACTACGTGTCCCAACAAAATTGTGTGTATCTCAACTAATCTTAAGAAACTGAAGTTAACAACCAGATTGGGATGACTGAAACTTGAAACCTTAAATCATTTTCTCAATCTTTATTGCTCAGTTAGCCTCTTGGAGTTGTGAAAATTTTAATTGATGTGAATACAAGATGAAACTATGTAAACATTTTTCTCAATTCTAAAAAGATCACCCAATATATATATATATATATAATCTAAATACCGGTGATGAAAACAGAGTACTCTGTTTTTTGGGATATTGCTACCTATTAGGCATCGCTAACCGTGTATCAATTTTTTCACTAAATTTGAGTAAAAATTTTCTTTGATATCAAGAACACCAAGCAAGGGTTTTGTAGTTTTATTAAATCACCTGTCGACCAGGAAGACGATCAGCCAATCAACTGGTCAGCATAAAACTTTCACAAATTTTTCCTTATGCGGTGATAAAAATCCAACGGCAATAAATAATAATTTGATAAAAAACACATTGATCCATAGTGTGATGAAAGAAAATTGAAATATGTATTTGATAAAACTGTTAAAAGCAAGAAAAAAAATTATTTTTCATCAAATTTAAATTTGATGACAATTTTGAGTACCCATTCGAGATGATCTTATGGGACTGTACAACGTTCTTCAACACTAAATGCTTTTTAAGAAAAACCCACCAGAAATACCGGCGGTGCAGTATACGAGGACGAAGATCATGCCGCCGAAGGACCAGGCGATGCCGAGAATGCCAACGCCGCCGCAATCGTCGGTGGCGGACTGGCTCTTGTAGCCAATCACTGTGAGAATAGTAATGTAAAGGAAGAGAAGAGTGGCTATGAACTCTGCAATAAGGGCTCTGTAAAACGACCACTTTCCCAGCTCCTTCGGGTCCATCAGCGGCGCCGGCGGTGGATCCTCGTAGTCCTTGGCTGAGAATGTTCCCTCCTCCACCACTTCCACTCCTTTTGCCATTTTGGCTGGACCTTGTAGAGAGAGAAACAATATGGGAGGTTTAGAGAGAGAGGATGAGGAGGAGGAGTAGAGTGAGATGAGTAGGGGTATATATGGACCATGGATGGGAGAGGAGGGGGGGTTGGGTGTATGCTGAGGAGGAGAGAGTATTTTACATTTGTTGGAATTATAATTATTAATATTTATAAAATTTATCATTAATTTATAATTATTTTTTAATAATACTGACCCTTTTTAATTTTTTGGCTATTTTAGCCTGGGGTTAAAAAGTCTGATTTGGGAAGGATTTTTTTGACTTTTTTGACTTTTTTGATTTGGGAAGGATTTTTTTGACTTTTTTGACTTTTTTTATGAGAGAGGAATGTAATGATTATGGGTTAGATTTAATGTTTTATTTTTTGTGACTAAAATAACCTATTTTATTTTTTGTGACTATTTTAGTCCCTAACCCACCAAAGCCAACTTCCCAAACTATGCCTGATTGATTTAATATTTTCTTTTTTAAAAATTACTCATAATTTGAATGTACAATGTAAATTTAAATTTGACATAATAATGCTGTTTGGTGTAACTGTTAAAACAAATTATACATTATAACTTAACAGATTATAGATTATGACTTTAATCAGAAGCTGTTAATCTGTTTGGTATAGCTGTTAAATTATAAATTTAAGTTGCTGAGCAATATTTGTTAAATAAGCTGTGAAGTAGTTTTTCCAATTAATTTTTATTTTTTATAATTCACAATTTATCTACATTTCTCATAAAAATAATAATAATATTTTATAATTCATTTGGGTCTTTTTCTATTTTTAAAAAAATAAAAAATAAAAAAATTTAAGAGTATAACTGTAAATTAACATGTCCACAGCAGAAGCTGATAATCAGAAGCAAGGGGTGAGCAGCTTCTCAGAATCAGTTTTTTTGACTTAAAATAAGTCGTTAGAATCAGACACTGTTTGAAATAAGTTTAACCAAACAGTCTAAAATAACTTTTTAAAAGTCAGAAGGATAAGTTGACTCAAAAAAGCTCCACCAAACACCCCAATGTCAAGACTGAAATCAAGCTTTTTTCATCACAGGTCGTATTAAAATTTAAATAAATTTTCTTTTTACCCTATACAAAAACATATATGTATACATAATATAATATATAAATTTTATATATATACAAAAAAAACAATAATAAATTCTAGCCATTTTTGTGCAAACTAAAAAGGGATTGCAAGTATCCTATAGTCTTATCCTAATTTCCCTCTTATTATGATGTGGATTATGTGGAGGTAAATTTGATTCACATATTTTAAACACTTTATTAAGTATTGTTTTATAACTCGTGGCATGGTTCAATACAAAAATGCTTTAGAGCTCTAATAGTTCTAATGGGAATGTGGGACCCATTCTGATGTGATGTTTGTGCCTTATCTTGTTTTAAAAAAATTCTAAACTCTCTCCTCAAAAAAATTTTCAAAAACAACTCTCTCAAAAATAAACCAAACAAGCCCATAGTATTTTTATTAGAAGGCTATATAGGGCTAGAAATCTCTTTCCCAATTTCAGTCCAAAAATTGAATGGGTCAAAAAAATTGGTCAGGCTTACTTTAGGAGTTAAAACATCAATATTATTTTTTTTTTTTTTTTTTTTTGAGCTAAAATTTACAAAATGACAAAATAAGCTAAAATAGTCAATAAAACAAAATGTCACATCAAACCCATAATCATTTCACTTTTTTCTTTCACAAACATCACATCTAACTAAAAAAAAATTTAACTATCTTTCCAAATACAAATTTTAACCTATTAAAATAGCCAAAAACTAAAATAGTCTACTAAGGGCATCTCCAATTATATTTGCTATAATATCATTATCATTGCTATAATTTAGCAATGAATAGTAATAATTTGTCAAATTATAGCAATGGTACTCCAATGATACACATTATTTTGGCAAATCTCAATCAACTTCCCTTTCAAGTTTATAGGTATTGTTTGGATATAAATTTTTTAGGGATTTTTTTAATTTTTTTTTTGTCTTTTGTGACCTTTTTTTTAAATGTTTGTAAAAAAAATTATATATTTATATTATATGTCTTTTGCTCAATTTGTCCATTCCAATGACAAAAGAGCAACGATTCAAATGAACCCTCTAGAATCATCTCACTCCAGATAAACCCAGGGCTCTCTCTCAAAATATCTATCTATGTCTCTCTTCATTGCCTCTATCGTCCTCTCTCTCACCATCTTGAACTCTATCCATTATTCTCTCTTGTCTTCCGTTTGTCAGCTTTTTTATCATCACAACCACCACCACACCCAACGTCGATCTCCAACCCTTAAATCCTAAATTTCTTTGTCCAACCCTCTTCTCCATCACAACCCCGTCTCCCAACTCTCTGTTTCTCTGAGATCAACTCTCGGTTTCTCTATTTCAACCGTCTCTCTCTCTCTCTCTCTCTCTCTCTCTCTCTCAATTCTGCGATCTGAAGAGGGGGAATGGATGAGACTGTTGTCATCGATTGATCTTCACCGAAGGTTATCGATTTTGCTCTTTCTCTCTCTCTCTCTTCATCTTGACTCCGGAATGTTTGGATCAGTGAAGATTAGGGAGAGAGAGAAAGAGAGAGCGAAATCGATAACCTTCGGTGAAGATCAATCGATGACAACAGTCTCATCCACTCCCCCTCTTCGGATCGCAAAACTATGAGAAACTGAAACCTTAAACCTTTATCTTCGATTTGTCTGTGAGAAACCCTAAACCTTTATCTTCAATTTGTTTGTGAGAAATCGAAGCCCTTGAAATCACTTGAAGAAGAATATGAAAATGAAGAAGATGAAGCCGAAGCAATTGCACTGAGCTTCAACCTATTTCTTTAAATCCAGGTATTTATTGTTTAAACTCTACTTCAGATTTCTTGATTATCGCTTGGATTGCTTGAGATTTGTTGAGATTACTTGAAATTTGTTTGAGATTGCTTGAATGTTGTTGTTTTAGTGAAATTCTGTTTTTTTTTTTTTTAAAAAAAAAAATTGAACGTTGAGATTGCTTTAGCTTCTGTTTTAAAAAATAAATTGTTGATTTTTTATATTTTTTTTTTTCAAATGTCATTTGCCAACACTGTTTAAACAAATTCATGAGTTTTGTTTAAAAAACATTCTTTGATTTCGTAAAATGAAATTATTGATCTGTTTTTGTTTCAGCTTTTTTTTTTTTTTTTTCTAGGAAGGGAAGGAGGAAATGAAGAAAATCAGTTAGTTTTGGGTGAGTTGGTAGATTTGTCATTTGCCAAAGTTGTTGTCAAACGTGGCAACAGCTTTGGCATTTGCCATTTTTAAGAGTTGCTATATTTCACCATTAGAGAGAACCCTTTTTTCCTCAAAGCTGTTGTATTATAGCTTTGGCAGCTCCAATGGCAAATCATCGGAGATGCTCTAACATAGCAACTTCCCAAACACTCACTATGTCTCCTAACTTTTTAATTACCTCACTTAATATTTTATACTTCGAGTCAACTTACAATTAGTTCCAGTTGAATAACACAGTGCTTGGTCTAAGTAAAAGACCGAAAACACGCGCAGAGAAGGTACCGCCTGCCTTCCGATTAACTACCGGTAAAGTGGGGATTGGTAGTGCTTATTATGCCTACTTGCAGACACCAACCTAAGAATTACTTGAGTCATATTTACCGCTTCGTTGAATTAAATTGAAATTATTAAATTGTTAAATTTTTAAGATTGCATTGTGCACAAAGTTTTCAAAAGAGAAAGAGATATGTTTTTTAACACGGTTTAACATATGCATTCATCCCATGAGATTGTATAAAATGTATATACTTTGTTAAGGTTTTTCTACTGGGTTTTGTACTCACCCCTACAGGATTTTGTGCAGGAAAAGAGGTGGTGATCGTACGAAGTTAGAGGCGTGGAGATATGTTTTGAGAGCACAATGGTCTTTCTTTTGTTGTAATTATTTTTGACAAGCCAATGGCTTTATGTGTATGGGTTTGAAATCATTTTTGTGTAACTGGGTTTAAGTCTTGAAATTTGTAGCCTTTGAGGACATTAATTCGTACCAAACTTCCTTGCTATATGCTATATATTCATATTCTAATAATGTTGAATGCATAAAAGCATGTGGAATATTCTTTTGTATATCTCTTGATGCTTAATAGGTGAAAACGTTGGAGATTTGATGATGATGTTAATATTGTGATTTACTTATATTTATATTAAATACTAGAAGTTGGTGAATCTTTATGATGTAAATTTTTGGAGCGTGACATAATCAAACAAATTTTTTCTTTTTAAAACTCATTTTAAAAAGTTAAAACTTAAAATATAATTTAAAACTCAAATTATAATTCAAAAAACTAAACCAAAAGAGTGGCGTCTTACCTAATACCAATAACGTGTGCCATAAAGTTCATCAGGTAATGTAATTAGTAATCATGTTATTAATCTCAAATGTCTTGAGATTCTTACGTATATAACTATTGGGAAATATTATGTGTATTATATAGATTTTATAATTAAAAAAATAATATAATTTTAATTTTTTGAGTCATAATTAAAAACTAAAAAAGTATATTATAACTAAACACAACATGAGATATAATTAAAGAACTCATAATTATAACTAAAATAATATCATAACTAAAGAAGAAAATTAGTTATAATTAAAAAAGAAAAAAATATAATTAGAGGTGCATATAGTACACTATTTTTAAAAAGATGTATATTAGAATTTTTCATAACTATTATAAAAGTGTTATAGAATACATACAAAACATTAATGTTGTATATCATATAATCATGATATACACACATTTTAAGGGGTTTTTTTTTTTCTAAAAAGAAAGTATGTTTTTTTGACTTTTTATTAAAAAAATATACAAAAAAAAAAATAGAGAAATGATGTGACCTAAAAAAAATAAAAAGATAAAAAAAAATGTGCTAATATAGGGGATGCCAAATAATACCTAACTTTATCTATTTTATACGGATACCATTTGAGAAATACTTATTTTCTATATATTTTTCATCGTAAATTCAGATAATTCACAAACCCAAATTCATGA